TAACAGATTTTTTGGAAATCTCGTCACTTCCGTTCCTCTGAAGACTGTAGAATTTGTAAAAAAATGTGGTTTTTAAGTTTTCAGTGAATTTTTTTTGCTTTCCTTTCTACTAAAAACGCTCTATTTTGTAGAGTTTCACTTTAAAATACTGACGATCTGGAGGACTTTTACGCGAAAAATTACAAGATAAATTTATTCAGTGTCGAATTCGGGACAGAAACGAAAATAAATCCCTACCGTTTTTTCCCGAAAACCATTAAGGTTTTCTCCAAAATCGATCACAAAACTAAAAGTTTTAATTGACAACGCAAAAAAGCATTATTTTCTGATGATTTTCTTCTTTTTTGACAATAATGGGGTATTTTCAGTCAAAAATGACTCTGAAGTGAATTTTTAGGAGTTGGCGCAGTGCTGCGCAAATGGCTTGGTGCGCCAATTCAACGAACTGGCGCAGCAACTCAGGTCCGTTACTGGGAAAATGTTGATGACTTTTTTCAACTTTTCTTAGATTTAATTTGAAGGGCATTTATTAATAATATTTTAAAAATGTCTTTAAATTTCAGAATTTTCCAGTTTTAGCCAAATTACTCTTTCATCTAAATGCTCAATTTTCTAAAGTTTCGCTTAAAAATGTTGACAATCTTAAGGGATTTTCCGGGAAAAAAATATTTTTTGAAATCCCTTTCCAACTTTGAATTTTGAACAAAAACCAAACAATTTTTTATAAAAAAATCGAACAGAATAAGCGTGATTTTTTTTGCTTTACTTTCTACTAAAAACGCTCTGTTTTGTAGAGTTTTAATTTAAAAATACTGACGATCTGGAGGACTTTTACGCGAAAAATTACAAGATAAATTCATAGCTTTGTAAAAAATTTACAAAAACTTTTTCAGTGTCGAATTCGGGACAGAAACGAAACTAAATCCCTACCATTTTTTCCCGAAAACCATTATTATAATTAAGCATTATTTTCTGACGATTTTCTTCTTTTTTGGCAATAATGGGGTATTTTCAGTGAAAAATGACTCAGTGAATTTTTACGAGTCGGTACAGTGCTGCGCAAATGGCTTGGTGTGCCAATTCAACAAACCGGCGCAGTAACTCAGTTTCATTTCAGAAAACGTCACTATTTATTTATTTGCCAACGTTTCGACTTTCATTGGGGTATTCTTTAAGGCTCCAATTATGTGTGAACTTTCTGTCAAACTAGATTTATTAGAGTGAATTCATTAATATAATTCTCAATCCGCAAAATCGCATTCGCACAATTCTGCACTGCAGACTGAGATGATGCATAATTACGAATTTATTAAAAATAACTAGTGCCTTGCCATGAAGATGCATTCACTATAATGAAGCTACTTCGACAGAACGTTCACAAATAATTTGGGCCTTGAAGAAGACCCCAGTCAAGGTCGAAACGCCGGCAAATAATTAAATAGTGCGGTTTTCATCAGTGTCCCACACCCGTTACCTTCAACCTAATTTTCCGATTGGGACACCAAACAACCAAACGAAATTGTGACTTAAATTATGAGTTAACAAAATGACGTAACCCCTTTTTTGGTTGTTTGGGCAAAGTGGTAAAACATTACTCATAAAAAATGTTGATGACCCTTTTTTCAAATGTTAAAATTCTAGTCTAGGGTCGCGTAAAGCTTTAAACCACTTTAATAGATGAGTTATAACTCATCGGCTATTGAGTTATAACTCATCAACTCAGAGAGCGGCAACAACTCAAAAGCGCAACTCAACACAGTGTCACCCAGGCCTACCAAAAATTGGTTTTTAAATTTGCGGTATTTAGATAAATAGTGAAAACCTATCAAGATCGTTTTTGGAGTCTTGACCGCCTTTAAAAGTATTTTTGCCAAAAAAACGGGAAAAATTGTTTTTTCAATTGGTTTTTTCTGTTCTGAGGGGTGATCACATGGATCTCCCAGTCAAGGGAAAATGTCTCTAAAAAACCTTTATTGCGCCCTTGATACATTTTAATTTTTTGCGCCCAAACGACGCCGTAAATCAAAAAATGATGCTTTTAAGAAAACATTTCGGCATCCCAAAAGTATTTAGCCGCGTTTTTCCCAAAGTTTGATGAGTTTCATCGGGTTATTTTTCACAATATTCAGACTTGGCAGGATTGTAAATGCAATTTTTTCAGTAAAATTGAGCGAAATTGTTGCTTATTCGTAGAATTTATTCCGAATTTCTCGCAAACAGGCCATAAATGAAGAAGCTCGTCTTCACTCATCAGGATTTTTGAAAAACAGGCTCCCGTTGAGCTTAAACGTCCATTTTGAGTCAAAATCTAGGAACACTTTCAACTTTCAGCCTCAAATGTCTCCTTAAATTAAAGTCCGGTTAAAGACGAAGATTTTTTAGAATTTCTCCCAAACAGATGATTTGTGTCAATAAATAGGCTCCGCCGCATTTGTGCCCAATATTACATAAAACGATTGAATACAGATCGATTGGAAGAGGTGGACCAGAAACAGGCCACTTCGATCACCTGACCTAAACATTCGGGACTTTTAACCAGTGAACAGAAGCAAAAGGAGGATTCAGTCCCTTGTTCCTGAATGTTTTCTAGTTAGAATTTATAGTGCCACGACTGTTAAAAGCTGAATTTTAGACCTCTTCCTACAGGACCTAACTTTTAACTTTTGCGCCTTAAGACATTGCGTTACCTGCATGTCATCCGGAGTATATTTTGTTTGATTTTAATTTTGAGTAAATTGAGGTTTTTTGAATGAATGGCCCAATAGGGTCAGGGGTGTAGATTGAACAACAATAGGTTGTATGCACGCCTATTAAGCAAAGTATTATTTACATAAAATCTAGATCGTTAAATCGCACGATTCCGGTGTCGAATGCACGTTGCACCCAGTTAGTTTCACGACATGGGCAACACCCTTTTTGTTGGCATTTTTTCAAAGTGCATCTAGCTCAATATCACCTGAAATCGGTTTTTCGCTATCGGAAAAGCCGGAGCGGCATCGTCTTCTTGACATTAAACGACCTAGCGGAAAATGGTACTGCCCACAATCAGGTGACACGATTTACCGTAAGCACATTTCCTTTCTATCTCTTAGCAGTGTCCGGCTAATAAATAATTCCTGCCAATTAACATTGAGTTTTTTCCTGCCGTAAATATGGCCATTTTTCATTCATTATCGCTGTCTAAGAATGGGTTCTCTGTTGGCGCACATTGGCGACCGTGTGTGCTATTAGTCATCAAGTTCCTGCTTCTAGATGGAAAATGCCTCTGCTAATCCCAGCCTAATCAGCTCCCAAAGAGTTTTTGGCACTTTAGCTAAAAACGCGGGCGATTTCCTTTGGTATGCGGGTTTTTTTGCTAGTAACTCAAGTCGAGCAGTTTCCACTCGAGCGACATGCAAATGAGCAACCCGAGAACAAACGACCTTAGGATATAAATTTCGGCCTGTGTGCCTTACACGTACCCACCACCCCACCAGTCTGATGTAATTTCAACGGTAAATGAACGAATAGAAATCATATTATCCATCGATAATTGCAAAACGGATTTTTTCCCCAGTTCCGTACACGCTGTCGAAGGTCGTAGTGCGATCTATATATACTGGGGTGTAGCCGGTAATAGGGCACAGTCAAGTCCAGCTCTCAAGACAAGACACCATCTAACAATGAACGGTTTGGTAAGCTCACTTTGCCTTTGCCTTCAGCCTTTGGTGCTCATCATTTATGCATTTCTCCATAGATCATCGCCCTTGCCACCCTTTCCGTTGCTTTCGCAGCCCCCAGCGGTGTTCTCCTGGGAGGACATGGTTTGGGACTGGGAGGACATGGTTTGGGATTGGGAGGAATCGGCCTTGTTGGCCCTTCAGCCCTTGGCGTGTCCGTTGTTGGTAAGTTGCAGGCTCCCGGAAAAATCGTTCAGCTTCCAATTGGGTTTCCGTGCAGGCCCTGCAGCCCATGGAGTCTCATTGGTGGGCCCCTCCACCCATGGAGCCGCTGTTGTAGGACCTTCCACTCTTGGAGCCACCGTTGTTGGACCTAGCGCAGGCCCTGCTGCCGTTATTGGCGCTAGTGCCGGACATTCAGCTATCATTGGCGCTTCTGCCCATGGAGCTGCTCTTGTTGGTAAGGCTCACAACTGCCGAACTATAAGGTTCCATTACTCAATAATCGAACTGTTTTCCAGGACCCTCCCTTGGACTCGGAGTTGGACTTGGCCACGGACTGGGATTGGGTAAGTCCCCGACCAAATCCTCTCCCAACTGTGACTAAAGGGTGTTTTGCAGGAATTGGCGGCCTTGCCCATGGAGTGACCGTTGCCGGACCACCCACTGTTCCCGCCACCATCACTGGACCATCCGGAACTGTGCACGCCGCTGGTTTGTGGGGCCCAACCCTTGCTCACGGCCATGGTGGGCATTGGTAATTCGCCCCCGTAAGCCCGACCATCCAATGCCCAGCGGTTAATCATCCGGCAACATACTGGGAAGCTCAAGCAACTTTGTAGGTGTATTGCCGGATGTTTTTACCGCTTTGGGTTCAGTCTGATTAGTTTGCTGTGTGACCTGTTGTGTACTGCCTCTGGTTCATTATATGTTCTGTATATTTTGTACCATACTACCTTTGTAAGATAGCAATTGCGTTCAATAAAGAACTATTATTGACAACTTTTGCCCTTTTTTGCCCGCACTACGGTCTACTTACCAGCAAGTTCCTGCTGCTGTGGTTTAGCTTGCTTTCAATATTAATCCTCGTTCTTTGAAGCAACTAAGCTAAGAATAAGAAGAAGTTCTGGCTGCTTGTCGGGGAAAGCTGTCAGTAGAGGAAATGGGTTCCTGAAACTTTAAGAGCAGGTGTTTGAAGAACCGTTGGCGCAACTAAGACAATTAAATTGTTCAGTTTTTTCCGCTGTTTGAAGAGAACCTTCATTTAAAGACTTGCAACTAGAACAGGCAAGAGTGGAGGCCGAGTAGTTTTGCGCTATTAAAGAAATTTGAATTGGTAAAGGCCAAATCCTGCGGTGGCAGTACCAAGAAAAGCCGGGAGATCGTGCAAGGAAATGCGTCTTACAACAAAGGCGTGGCACTGGCTGCACATAAACCTGAATAAAAAACTGTAGCAAGGACTCGTAACGGTATAAATGGGAAAATATGAGGTAAACAAATATCAAAACTGGTACCACATTGTCATTTCGCGTAAACTGGCCGGTGCCTGTTGACGGGGAAGTTTGAACATGCAGCTCGAACTGGTACGTACAACCCTATACTTTGCTTGCTACCTGCTTCTAGCTCACCACTTATCATGGTGGCACTTGTGGATTATGGGTACTTAACCATTTATGGCACTTGTTATGTAAGTTAATGGCTTTGTTTACTTGGTACTGCGCCATTCACTTGGTTCCAACAAGAGACAATGCGGGTGTGGAAGCAAGGGAATTTTTCTTGTTATTGGCAAGTGGCAAGAACCTTTGCACATTATAAGTCTCAAATCGTGAAAAACTATGCTTTTGTAGTTCAGTCGCGATTAGAATCAAACAGTCGCATTCTACAGGGTGGTTTTTTAGTGCGAGAAGGTCCATTATTTCCGTTGGTGTTAAACTTTCGAAAAATAGTTTCATATAAAAGTTGTTGACGCACAAAGTGCGCACATTTTAAAAATATCTTATATCATACAGTGTCTCAGAAAAGCGAGGCAAGATCAAGGTGTATTTTTTTAAATAGAATTACCCATTTTTATTAGCTCATGGGATGCAGCTCGAAACGCTGTATATGCACCGTAAATAGTTTTTTTTCTCACTTGCGACGCTGGCAGATTATCGCCATTTTCGTAAAATTTTGCGTAAAAACATAGTATCTAAAAATTCATTGTAGAAGCAAATAAAAGCAGTTAAAGATACAAAAAAATACGTCTTTCCAATCACCACAGATCCGTTAAGAATTCTATTGAACCAAAATATTAATACATTGTACAGGGTGTTAACAATGTGGACTTCAATCTAAAACTTTTTAACGCAATAGAACTTTTGTTTTTGAAATGAAAGTACCTGTATATTAATACGTCATTAGATAGACAATTTACAAAGTTACAAATTTGCATTTACATTTTAAGCTGCAAAATCAACCGTTTTCAAATTATAATTTATTTTATTTAAAAATTTCAAAAAGTTGCTACATTTTGTAAGGTGGCTATGAAAGTCAATAAATAAGTGTCAAAATTTTAATTGCCACGTTTAATTGATGACACTTATTTAATGAATTCCATAACCACCTTATAAAATGTAACAACTTTTTGAAATGTTTAAATAAAATAAATTATAATTTGAAAACCGTTGATTTCACAGCTTCAAGTGTAAATGCAAATTTGTAACTTTGTAAATTGTCTATCTAATGACGTATTAATATACAGGTACTTCCATTTGAAAAACAAAAGTTACACTGCGTTAAAAAGTTTTAGCTTGAAGTCCACATTGTTTACACTCTTTACAATCTATTGATATTTTGGATCAATAGAGTTCTTAACGGCTTTGTGGTGATTGGAAAGACGTATTTTATTGTATCTTTAACTGCTTTTTTTGGCTTCTACAGTGAATTTTTAGAGACCATGTTTTTAAGCAAAATTTTACTAAAATGGCTATCTGCCAACGTAATAAAAAAACAATTTACGGTGCATATGCAGCGTTTCAAGCTGCATTCCATGAGCTAATGAAAAATGGGTATTTCTATTTAAAAAAATACACTTTGATCTTGCCTCGCTTTTCTGAGACACTCTGTATCATATAAGACATTTTTATAATGTGCGCACTTTGTGCGTCAACAACTTTTATATGAAACTATTTTTGGAAAGTTCAACACCATCGGAAATAATGGACTCTATCGCACTAAAAAACCACCCTGTATGTAGAGTGTGAAACCTCCTTCACCAGCTAATCGCAACTATTAACACATAAGAACCTGCAATTTTCTTAGTAGGTAATTGCTGCCGCAGGTTAACTTGCTGACAATCATATAATTGATTTTTCTCATTTGTATTTGATTACCGTCAATTATCGCGCCGGTTCGGTTCAAAAATTGCCAGTAGTTTATCAAAAACCACAGAAAACGACTCATAGTTTAAAGCCCGATTGTTAACAGCAGGGTGATCAAAAATAACTCTAATCTTCTCCAAAGTTAATATACTCACTATTCCCGTACTGTCCACGTGTGCCGCAATCATCGCTCCAGGGGAATCCAGCCAATGGGGAAGGGGCATACATCCCTAACCACCTTGTATTATCGGTAGATATTCCTGCTCCTGTTGGAAGTTAGTAGGGGGGCGCCAAACGATGGTTTCCCCATCCTGAACCCAGGGGGCATCGGGGGCATTTTCAAAGGCCCCGACTCAGAAACCATCATCCGCGGCCCGGACGGTAGCCAGATTAGCTCAGAACAGACGGGCGGCTCCATAGTGAGCCCGCAGGGATTTGCTGGTCCAATCGTGGCTGCTGATGCTGCCATTTCCTCAGAGCCTCCATTGATTGACGTTGAACACATCAGCTCCCCTCTTCCAGTGGACGTGAAGCCTATTGAGATCGTGCAGCAGGATCCGCATATAATAGAGACTGAGATCGTCGCCGCCCCCGATGTGGAGCCGGAGCAAAGCTCCGACCTAAAAGGACCCTCTGGTCGGATCATCACCAAGGGTTCGGCCTCAATTGTGTCTGGACCTGCCTCCACTACTATTACAGGCAAGCTGAAGCAGATTATTTTGGCCGAGCCTCACATAGATAGACATATTTAGAGCCCAGAAAAGTCATCGTGGCGCCTGCGAGAATTGCGCCAGAGCTTCTAGTTGATTCCCTCCCAGTGCTGTCGTCCACAGTGGCTCCTCTGGTTTCTTCAGCAGAGCCTCTAGTTCCCCTGGGCCTTTCCACGACGGTTGCTCCCGTGGAGTTGGGATACTCCACTGAGGCTCCTCTCACCTTAGTAGACTCGGGCAGGATTGATTTGGGCCAGGTTTCAACCAACTCCCTCAGTCTTCCTGATGTGGCGAGCGGCTCGGTGCCCGAAGTGGAGTACAGCTCTTCCTTTGGAGTGCTACACGCCCAAGAACTTCCAGCTAGTGGCAGGCTGTATGCATCTACTGATCTGCCTCCAGCGGCCAGCACTCTCTTTAGCCCCACCACTGGTAAGAACAGCTTGTCGCTGTTTTCCGGGGACTTTGCTGCAGCAGGGGCTCTTTTTCTAGCGGGTCATTTGCTGCCGCCCGATGCCCTAGCAGAGTCCACTGTGCAGTCGATATCTTCCACGGCGTCCCCCAATATTCAGAAGATCCGCAGGGTTGAAGAGGAGAGGATTGCAGCGGATGGGCGCATAGGTAAGACCAAAGGCAGCTAATTCGTTAAGTAGTTAAACCCGGTTCTGTGCAGATCTGGGAGATTCCGTTCCTCCCAAACCTACTCCTCAGTCCTCATACCAAATCCCCCAGGTTCTAAGCCTGGCACTGTCGAAGTTCTACGAAAAAAGCGCCGTTAAGGACGGTAATGGGGTGGCCATTGACGACAAGTTAGGTAAGGAGGCGAGGGCCCTGCTGATTACCCATCGGTGGTGAAATGAGAGCGGTGATTTTAAGCATTTTTGGGGCTTTTCCAGGTGAACTGGACCAGAACGAAATTCCCCTGGCTACTAGCCAGGGCTACTTGCTGCCCCCCGATCTTTCACAAGCCAAGTATATCGCTCCAGCGCTGGAAAGGCAGGGCGTCGACCCTTCCCAAGTTACTCTGGCCCAAGTACCTCTGTCGCAAGTCAACAAATTCACCTCTGGATATCAACCTGGATACGGCAGGATATAGGCAAAGTGCGAAGCATACTACTACTAGTCAAATAACGCTAATACTGTGTTTAAGTAATTATTATATTAAAAGTTCACGCATAAAATGTGAAGCAAGTGCAAAGAAAGCTGTAATTTTCATTTTTTCGACACCGTATATCGCTAGCAACTGATGAAAAATGCGAATTTGTGAACCTCAATATCCAATTAGGCCGGAGCGAGCGATGGTTTCACGTAAGGAAATTGGTCAGTTTTGCGGTCTTTTAGGCCCATTTTCAGATGGGGTTTGCTTGGAAGCTTCTTGAACTCTTCAATTCACTGAAAGGGTTTAACCAAACCATCCGTTCAGTCGAGAATAAAATTGCTGTTCAGTTCGTTGCTGATTTCAGCTCAAATTAGTTGAGGCACTTAAACAGCAAACTTAACCTCAGTCGTCCAGAGGCACACTTGAAAATAACTGGAAATTGTTTTAAACAATCACCCTGTATAGTTAGTATAACTCCGGGATTTTGCACACTTGCAATTCCTTGCTAAACTGCATGGGCACGCCCATGATCTAAACTGTCCTTCGAGTTCTTTGCATTATGGTAATAAATGAAATGATTACGTGCGGCATTCTGTTATATTTTTATTTGCTATTATCGGCGACTTTATATAGATTTTGCGGTACTTTGCCGGGTAACTCCCATAAATGCTGCGTTCACAAATCCGGCACTACCACGAGTACTCTACTTGAATTGCCCTGAATTTTCCTACTGATTTGCTTTTGTCAACGAGAGATAACATAATCAACTCAAACGCATTGGAAGATTCATTCATTTCAGCGTTCTTTAGCTGGAAACGGGAACGTAGCTGAATTTTATTGAAGGCGTTTGCATTCAACGCACCTTTTATCATTTTTTTCTGCATGCTAATTAATTTAAATTGCACTGTTATTAAGGCGTTTACAGGAAACTAGTCCCGTGTACTTGAATTTTCCCGCAATGCTTTTGCTGATGTTTCATGGGCCTTTTCCAATCTCTCCCGTAAACCCAAATGGCTGAAGTTTGCAGAAAAAAAACATGTAACAATGTAATTCAAAACAACTGTTTCGTAAGGCAATTAAATTGATATTGATAGAAACGATATCGCATTCAATGCTATCTGGGTGGTTTTCTGGTTTCCTTGGACTTTCAATCGCCTTTCGCGTTGATTTCTTCTTGTTAATTGATCAATTTCTCTCCCATTTCTGTTTGGAGGCAACAGAACATGCGAACTGCATTTTTTTCAAGCTGTTTTTGTTTCATAGCCCAGAAGTATTTGTTTTGCCAGCTTGGTAAAAAATTGGCATCTTCCCATCTAAAGCAAGTAACTATTGGAAACTTTAACTACCTTTAGAAGACACTCCAATCTTGAGATACCAAGATACTGAAAGTTTCATAAATATCGCACAGAATCCTGGGTTTTGCCACATTAGTAAAGCGCAGTTATAAAAAATGGTTGGGATGAAAAACAGTCGGTTTCAACATGAATGGTTTTTCTCAAATATCCTAATTATTTTAAAAATTCGCTGCATTCAAACTACAGCAAATAAAGATCTGAAATTCTCACCTACGTTAGAGGACGCTTGAGTCCACAGATTGTGAGAGTTTCATAAACATTGAGCAGAATTTCTGACTTTTGCCAGTTGGATAAATGTGCGTCTCATAATGAACATTTTCACGTGGTTGCATGCTTTCCTTGAAAAATTGCGTATGTCCTACAGGAACGTAAAAAGAAATTTGAAAATTTCACCACGTTTATAAAAGACTTCAGGCTCAAGATGCTGAAAGGCTCATAAAAATCGCCGGCGATCCTGTTTATTGGCAGCTTAGTAAATACCGGTTCTAAATTGAATGATTTTATTCAACTGCCCTCTATCTTTAAAAAGTTGACATCTTCTAAACTAGGGCAAGTACCAATTTTAAATTTTCCCTATCTTTAGAACACACTCGGCCCTAATTATTCTGAAAGTGTTGTAAAAATCACCGATAATCTCGATTTTTTACAGCTTGGATTAGAGTTATAAAATTAAAGTTTTGAGTCAAATGGGCTGCCGCTTAAAAAAAATATATTTTATAATTTAAAACAAGAAGCAATTTGAAATTTTGCCAATTATAAAAGACGTATGAGTCTCAACGTGCTAAGACTTTCAGAAAAAATTATCGAAATCCTGATTTTTTCCAACTTGATGATGTCGGTCTAAAAATTCATGTTTCAGTCAACTGCGTTCTTATCTTTAAAAATAAAAAAATCTTTTAAAATAAAAAATCGAACCTTCCAAACAATAGCAAGGAAGAAGTTGAAATTTTGCTCATCGGTAGCAGACATGTGGCTCTTAAGATGCTCAAAGTTTGATCAAAATTGACAAAAATCCTGATTTTTACAATCGTGGTAAATATCAGCCTCATAATGGATACTTTGACCCAACTGCACTATCTTCTAAGTCTATCTTCTCTAATCTAAAAGAATCTAAAGCTAGCATCACCTTGAAATTTTCACAATATTGAAAAGACACTCGATTCTAAATATGTTAAAAGTGTCATAAAAATATTCGACAATCTGGATTTTTTCCAACTTGATGAAATTGAGCTACACACTCTAAGTTTTCAGTCAACTACGGTCCCGCTTTAAAAAAAATAATATTTTCCAATTTAAAATAAGAAGCGATTTGAAATGTTCACCATCTATAGAAAACAGAAAAATAGAACCCTTTGAGTAAAAGCAAGGAAGAAGTTGAAATTTCGCCCTTCTGTAGCAGACATTTGGCTCTTAAAATGCTCAAAGTTTCGTCAAAATCGACAAAAATCCGGACTTTTGCAAGCATGGTGAATATTAGTCTCATACTGGATATTTTGACCCGACTGCACTCTTTTCTGAAAAAATTCGTATCTGCGAATCTAAAGCAAGGATCGCCTTCAAATTTTCACCATATTGAAAAGACACTCGATTCTAAATATGTTAAAAGTGTCATAAAAATATTCGACACTCTGGATTTTTTCCAACTTGATGAAATTGAGTTACACACTCTAAGTTTTCAGGCAACTACGCTCCCGCTTTATAAAAAATAATATTTTCCAATTTAAATTAAGAAGCAATTTGAAATGATCACCATCGATAGAAAACACATGAGCCTCAACGTGGTGCTGAGACTTTCAGAAAAATTTCTCAAAATCCTGATTTTTGCCAACTTGATGGATGTCAGTCTAAAAGTTAAAGTTTCAGTCAAGTGCGTTCCTGTCTTTAAAAGATCGAATCTTCCGAACAAAAGAAAGAGAGAAGTTAAAATTTTGCCCATCTGTAGCAGACATTTGGCTCTTAAGATGCCCAAAGTTTTATGAAAATTGACAAAAATCCGGATTTTTGCAAGCTTGGTAAATATTAGTCTCATAATGGATATTTTGCCCGACTGCACTCTCTTCTGCAAAAATTCGTATCTGCCAATCTAAAGCAAGGATCACATTTAAATTTTCACCATATTGAAAAGACACTCGATTCTAAATACGTTAAAAGTGTCATAAAAATATTCGACACTGGATTTTTTCCAACTTGATGAAATTGAGTTACAGACTATAAGTTGTAAGACAACTACGCTCCCGCGTTAAAAAAACCATATTTTCTAATTTAAAATAAGAAGCGATTTGAAATGTTCACCATCTATAGAAAGCAGATGAGCCTAAACGTGGCGCTGAGACTTTCAGAAATTTGCTCAAAATCCTGATTTTTTCCAACTTGATGAATGTCGGTCTAAAAATTCATGTTTCAGTCAACTGCGTTCTTATCTTTAAAAAATCGAACCTTGCAAACAAAAGCAAGGGAGAAGTTAAAATTTTGCTCATCGGTAGCAGACATGTGGCTCTTAAGATGCTCAAAGTTTCATCAAAATCGACAAAGAATCCTGATTTTTACAATCGTGGTAAATATCAGCCTCATAATGGATACTTTGACCCAACCTTAGTATTACCTTAGGATACTTAGTTAATCTATGGACCCAACCCACACCTTGAAATTTTCACAATATTGAAAAGACACTCGGTTCTAAATATGCTAAAAGTGTTATAAAAATATTCTACACTTTGGATTTTTTCCAACTTGGTGAAATTGAGTTACACACTCTAAGTTTTCAGGCAACTACGCTCCCGCTTTAAAAAAAATCATATTTTCCAATTTAAATGAAGAAGCAATTTGAAATGATCACCATCGATAGAAAACACATGAGCTTCAACGTGGTGCTGAGACTTTCAGAAAAATTGCTCAAAATCCTGATTTTGGCCAGCTTGATGAATGTCAGTTTAAAAATTCATGTTTCAGCCAAGTGCGTTCCTGTCTTTAAAAAATCGAACCTTCCGAACAAAAGAAAGGGAGAAGTTAACATTTTGCCCATCTGTAGCAGACATTTGGCTCTTAAGATGCCCAAAGTTTTATGAAAATCGACAAAAATCCGGATTTTTGCAAGCTTGGTAAATATTAGTCTCATAATGGATATTTTGCCCGACTGCACTCTCTTCTGCAAAAATTCGTATCTGCCAATCTAAAGCAAGGATCACATTTAAATTTTCACCATATTGAAAAGACACTCGATTCTAAATACGTTAAAAGTGTCATAAAAATATTCGACACTGGATTTTTTCCAACTTGATGAAATTGAGTTACAGACTATAAGTTGTAAGACAACTACGCTCCCGCGTTAAAAAAACCATATTTTCTAATTTAAAATAAGAAGCGATTTGAAATGTTCACCATCTATAGAAAGCAGATGAGCCTAAACGTGGCGCTGAGACTTTCAGAAATTTGCTCAAAATCCTGATTTTTTCCAACTTGATGAATGTCGGTCTAAAAATTCATGTTTCAGTCAACTGCGTTCTTATCTTTAAAAAATCGAACCTTGCAAACAAAAGCAAGGGAGAAGTTAAAATTTTGCTCATCGGTAGCAGACATGTGGCTCTTAAGATGCTCAAAGTTTCATCAAAATCGACAAAGAATCCTGATTTTTACAATCGTGGTAAATATCAGCCTCATAATGGATACTTTGACCCAACCTTAGTATTACCTTAGGATACTTAGTTAATCTATGGACCCAACCCACACCTTGAAATTTTCACAATATTGAAAAGACACTCGGTTCTAAATATGCTAAAAGTGTTATAAAAATATTCTACACTTTGGATTTTTTCCAACTTGGTGAAATTGAGTTACACACTCTAAGTTTTCAGGCAACTACGCTCCCGCTTTAAAAAAAATCATATTTTCCAATTTAAATGAAGAAGCAATTTGAAATGATCACCATCGATAGAAAACACATGAGCTTCAACGTGGTGCTGAGACTTTCAGAAAAATTGCTCAAAATCCTGATTTTGGCCAGCTTGATGAATGTCAGTTTAAAAATTCATGTTTCAGCCAAGTGCGTTCCTGTCTTTAAAAAATCGAACCTTCCGAACAAAAGAAAGGGAGAAGTTAACATTTTGCCCATCTGTAGCAGACATTTGGCTCTTAAGATGCCCAAAGTTTTATGAAAATCGACAAAAATCCGGATTTTTGCAAGCTTGGTAAATATTAGTCTCATAATGGATATTTTGCCCGACTGCACTCTCTTCTGCAAAAATTCGTATCTGCCAATCTAAAGCAAGGATCACATTGAAATTTTCACCATATTGAAATTACGCTCGATTCTAAAATGTATGTTAAAAGTGTCATAAAAATATTCGACACTCTGGATTTTCCAAATCAAATTCATTCCTGGGTTTCAGTCATTTATTGTCTCTATTTATCAATCATTATCTTTAAAAAATGGAATCTTCCAAACAAAAGCAAGGGAGAAGTTGAAATTTTGACGATTTGCAGCAGACATTTGGCTATAAAAGATCTGAAAGTTTCGTCAAAATCGACACAAAACCAAATTTTTGCAAGCAAAGCAAATAGCAATGTTATCCTTTCCTCGCCTTCGAACTTTTGTACGACATCGAACGTCTGCCAATAGAAACTCTGTCGGATGGGAAATCGGATGCATGTGCTTTAATTCACTCTCCTAGTTTTGCCAGTTTGTGCCCAAAATGAGCCACAAAATGAGTTTAAAAGAGCAAAAATTGCAATTTTATTCACTCTAAACAGCATGTGTGCAAGCAATACACATATAACAATACCGTTCTTTTTGTCGTTAGGCTCTTATAAGGATGGTGCAACATGCATCAAACTATCGTAAGGCGTCAACAAACAATTGAAGGCTGAAGGCTGCGGCTGTTGACCAAAGCCAGCTATATAAACTACCCCGTTGCCCAAGACCTGCATCAGTTGCACAGTGACCAGATCCTCTAAACAATGAACTCCTTGGTAAGTGCCCATAGTCCATGCGCTTCTTTGGGTGTGAAATAAAGCCCCGAATTTCAGCTAGTGGTATTCTTCGTGGGCTGTTTGGCCGCCTACAGCCAAGCTTCCATCCTGGGTCTAGGAGCCACCCTTATCGGGCCCGCTAACCCTGGAGCCCTAGTTCAAGGTCCTTCTGCTCAAGCTGCCCTGGTGGGTCCTGATGGTAGCAACATTGTGGCTGCTGGACAAGCCGGCGCCATCGCCGCATCCCCCATTCCTGGAGGTAAAAGTGGAGGAATCCAGTGAGCGAAGGAGGCTGATGGGGTTTTTTTGCAGGTGTAGTAAGCGCTGCTGTAGCTCCAGGAGCTATCGCTGTTGGCCATGGCGGTCTCCTTGGAGGTGGGCTTCTTTTGGGTTGATTTCGCACTGATTATTGAATAAACGAATTTTGATTATACTATTTTGTGGTTTTTGTAAGTGAGCAGATTTGGTCCCAGTCCATCTCTGTGCTGGTTAGTTGCGCCAAAAATGCACTTTTTCAATCTGAAGATCGAAAAGTGTATCGCGTTAACATTTAGTTATCGATTAGGTTCAAGTTCAAGTGTTAAACGGTTGCATATTCATGATTGTTTTTCATGAAAATGCAAAATTTATGATCTCACTGACTGGCTCATCTCCGGCCAACCCATGTGTTTAATTGCACCTTGGCGCATCTGCATTTTCCATGCCAAATACAGGATCTGAGTGATTAAATTTTTATTGAAAACCGGAGTTTTCCAAACACATCTCAAGCGGCCAATTAAGAGGCAGGCAGCCAACGGTCCGAAACAATAAGCGCCGCTTCCGGGATCAATTTCAATGCAAACTCACATATACCTACGGTATGACTATTAATAATTGTAAACCCATCAGCCAATTAGGTGTATTCAAAATGGCTAATATATAGGGTGTTACAAAGTGTGCAATTGTTACTATATTCTTATCTTTCCTGGGTCTCAGTCAAAGTGTCTCTAAAAAAGACAAATTTAAGGTTTCAAGAAGGCAAAGGCCTAAAAGAACGTTGATTTTTACCAATAATAAGTTGGTGTAAATTTCAAATCTGATGATGGCGCTGTTGTCACGCCCAAACGTAATGACATAAACGATGTTCAAAATTTTTACTTCACACTTTGACTGCGACCCAGGAAAGATAAGAATATCGTAACAAGTACACACAGTCAGGAACATAAATCAGAGTAAAGTGTGCAATGTTTTAAGGAAATTCATCGGTTATTTGACAATACATTTATTAGAAAAGCTGAATATTTCATACAAATAAAACCCCAAAAACCCTCGAAAGCAATAAAGTCGCAAAAACTATTCTCACTTTGTCCCTGTGCAAAAACTATTCCCACTTTGTCCCTGCGCAAAAACGAATTCAAAGTCCTCAAAACATCAAAATACCAAATAAATTCGATAGTTTCACTCACTTGAACATTTTTCTTGCAAAAGCCGCGTAACCGGGCAAGGAAACAGCAACGAATGGTGATCGGACAATATCTTTTTCGGAAAATGGTCAAATTTTTGCCAAAATTGAAAAATCCCTTAGTATTTCCGGTAATTTTGACGGTGCTTTTAACGCGCAGTCTTACCCATGTGCCCTCAGGCCATAAAACTACCAACAAATTAACAGTTCTTTAAAACCTTGTGAAAATTATATTTAAATACCAAAAAAGTGCAAAAAAATCATAATAATAGAACACGACACACGCTGTATACGGGAATATCCCATCCTATCTCTCATCCTAGTATGGCGAGGTCATCATAATAAGGCGCCTATATAAAAATCAGCGCTAATCTTCAATTGTTAGTAACCTTAGCATCTTCAAAAACTACTGAAGAGGAGCACATAATGCATTTTCCGGTAAGCCTTCAAATAGTGGGCCTTTTGTGCGTGTTCTTCGGCAGCATCAGCGCCCACCGGAGCGGAGGCGGCGGCGGATGCTCAGGGGGCTGCTCTGGAGGAGGCAGCACCATAATTGGTCCAAGCGATCCAGGAGCCACCATCCAAGGGCCCGGTTCGCAAGCTAATATTATTGGTCCAGATGGAGGGCGGATTTCCGCATATGAGGTGGGCGGCAAAATTTACGTGCCTCCCAAACAAGGTAAATATTATAGATAAGTTCTATATTGTTGAGGCAGATTCATTTTTTTACAAACTCCTTTTTGGGTATTTCGCCTCAAAAATTTTTGTCTTTAAAAAAGACAGAATTTCCTCACGTCTTTTATTACAGATTAATAAATAGTGCTCCTATTTCGCAATAAGAACGAATTATTTATCAAAAAGTAATCAGGAACTATCACCTAGAGGGTATCCTGCGACACACTTAGGCTCAAGCTGTAAGAGAAAATTCCAATTAGTAAAGAAATTAATTTGAAAAATTGCCTTGACGTTTCGATAGCTATTTTCTGCTATCGTTATCAAAAGAACCTAAATGAACCTAAAAATAGTATGTTAATAAATTGTGTAACAATAGTAGGATAATACAGTATATGAAAATTCGCTCTGATAATTCGTCTGTGCAAATTGTCAGTTATGTGACT